TTTTTGTCCTCAAGTGATATCTTTGCTCTTGAATACTTTAAAGAGGTCTTATGCAGCAGATTTACCTAATGTAATATGTCAATTGCTTTCTTGACTGCAGTTTCCATGAGTGTTCATGGTTCATCTGTTAAAAAATGAAGTCTTTGACAATTTCAATGTTTCCTCCATTCATCTTGACGTTATTTATCGGTTCAGTGGCGAAGATTTTTGTTTTCTTTCCACTGAGGTGTAACCCATACCAAAGACTGTGCTCTTTGATCTTCATGGGTAAATATTTTATGTCCACTTAGCTTTCATCAAGCAAAGCTGTGTCATCTGCTTATCGCAGGTTGTTAATGAATCTTCCTCCAATCCTGAAAACAGACTATCCTTAAAATAATCCAGCTTTTCGAATTGTTTGCTCAGAATACAGATTGAATAAGTATCGTGAATACAACCCTGCCACGCATCTTATTTATAACCATTCAGTGTTCCCTTGTTCTGTTTGAACAATTGCCTCTTTCTTTATGTATAGGTTCCTCATGAGAACTATTAAGTGTTTCAATATAATCATTCTCCACAATGTTGTCCATAGCTTGTCATCTCTGCTTCCAGCCAAGATCTAGCTGAGGGCAGCAATTATATCCCTCATTCCACATACTCATCTCACTCTGGTTTGAACTTCTGGCAGATCTCTGTCAATAAATGATTGCAGCTGTTTTGAATTATCTTTAGCAAGATTTTACTTGCATGAGATATTAATGTTAATGAAATTCAAACATCTCCTGGTGATATTGAAGTATTCTATGTGCAAAATACTGAATGATGAAGAAAGAATCAAAAGAAGATGGAAGGAATACACAGTCATTTTTCCAGGTCTTGACAGTGTTTTGTTCTGTTGTGCATAGGGTCGCTATGAGTCAGTACTAACCACCACCACAACTTAATCTGGTATTCATAAAGTTGTCAATGACAAATGATTTGAAAGCTGTCTGTCCTTCTTTATAGTGTGTTTTAGTCTTGAAGCTCATCTGAAACTTGTCTATCATCAGTGACACTGGTAGTATTTAAAATACTAGTGGCATAGCTTTCATAATCCCAGTAACACACAAGCCACCACAGTACAGCAAAAAGACAGACAAGTGATGAGTGGGTCTATGGATATATCATGTACATCTTAGGATATTACTAGACATGAATGTTCAACTTCACTCATCTTCTTTCTATAGACCATAAATGGTTACTCTGATCAAATGTTACTCAAAGAGATATGGGCTATGGTCAGAAAATCATGGATTGAGTTTGAGAGTAACCGGGTACTTGTAAGATAAACAACTGAAGCTACTTTATATTATCTGGGGCAGCTTATTACTAGGCCTGAAAATACTGCAATTTCTTGTAGTAGGTCTGTACTCAGGTAGGCGTGCTGGATATGGGTGAAGTATTAGACAGAGTATTGCACAACCTGAGCATAACATGCATACACATTGATTTTGCAACAAGATGGGACCATCACTCATGTGTACTCAGGTCGGTTGGTATTAGCCCATTGTGAAACCTGGTGATAGAACAATGCAGATACATCTGGAGGGTAGGGATGCATTTCTCTGACACTGTAGGGAACCTGGATTGCCAATTGAAGACTGAAAAGCTGTTTGAACTGCAAGGTCGGTGGTTCAAGCTTACCAGCTGCTCCTTGGAAACGCTATACAGGGTCGCTATGGGTTGGAATCGACTCAACAGCACTTAACAACAGTCAAAGCAAGAGTCACATGAACTCTCTGCATATGTGACTTTTATGTCTGCCCTGAGGAAAAGAGATTAAAATGGCCAGAGCTCTGTGGCCAGGCAGCCTGATTGTAGGAAGAATGCAGGTGGCATCAGTGTGCTGGCCTTATGTATCCCAGTTGTTCCTCCAACCTAGTGTAAGCTGACCTGTAACCCCTTAACCTGGGGCCTGCTGCCCTGGCAAGAGAAGTTCCTGAATAAGAAAAAGTGATAACTTCCAAATTATAGAAGGCAGTTTTCAAAACAAGGAAGAAAACCAACAGAAGAGGGAAGGTTTCAGAAACACTATGGTAGGCAGGTAAACTCTGCTGTTAGGAACCAAACTTCCATATCAATGGAACCCAAGATAAAGACTACAGATTAAACTCATTGGACAGAAAAAGAAAAACACAATGAAGTCATCAACATGTAAAAGTATTGATGAAGTGTGCTTTTGAAAATAATATGTGAAAGTTGTGCAATATGAAACCTATAATTTCTATACAAACTGTTGTAGTTGAACTATTCTATTAGCTTATCCATATGTTGTTGTTGTTAAGTGCCGTCGAGTCAATTCTGACCCATAGCAACCCTGTGTATCACTTATTTATCAATTACTATGTACTAAACACTTTTCCAATCAGTTTATTTTAAAATGGTGTCCTGTTAACCACTCTCTCAGATGAGTGCTTTCTTTACCACAACTAGAGAAGAGGAAGTTAACAGAAAGATGTTTTGTATAATGCGTAACATTACAATATATAAGATCAAGTTTTTTTTTTGTTTTTTTTTTTTTTTTAATTTCTGGAATGAATATAACATGAGAAGCATTTCATATAGGAAGTTGGTAAAATAATTATGTGAGGACAATTATGACAGGATAAAAGAGTGAATTTGGAAAAGGGAGAGAATGGTGTATGAATAAACACGTATGTACAACTTCACAGTGTTCAGGGCAGAGGCATATGGTAGCATTTTCACCTTCCAGTTGGAAGACAGGTCTGATTCTTAGCCAATGTAACTAATGTACAGACAGCACCTATCAGTAGAGACTTGCATCTTGTCAAAAATTTGAGCAGGTTCCATCAGAGATTCCAGACTAAGATGAACTAGTTTGAAAAGCCTAGAAACCTACTTCTAAAAATAATCCAGTGACCACCCTATGGATCACAATATTCTGATTCATAGCTGATTATGGAGATGGTGCAGGATGGGGAAGTGTTTTCTTCTTCTGTGAATGGAGTCACCATGTGTCAATGTCATTTGCTCTAATTCAAGCAATAGATAGGGAGAATTTGCTCTTTATGAGATCTGATCATTTTGAGATCCCCAGTATCTGCTCACAAGGAGGAAAAGATCCAGGATAAAACTAGTTATCATTGAAAGACAACTCTAAAAAGCTGAATTTTTACGGTGGATGCATGTTAAAATCACATGTGGTGCTTTATGATCAAATCATGTGCTGTGTAAACCACATTCTGTAGAGGTGGAACCAGCATTAATATGTTTAAGCTTCCCAGGTGATTCCAATATGAAGTCAAGATTAGGAATCAGTGACATGCATTTTCACATAGAGCCTTCATATATAGTTCGGTTCCAATCAAAAGGTACTCTGGATAATACATATTAATAAAGATGTGTGATGAAGATTCTAAGTAAATAGCAATAGAATTGTGGTTTTCCAATCAGTTAAATGGATAGATGTTTTGTATAATGCCTAACATCACAGTTTGTAAGATTAAGTTATTTTTGAATTCCTGGAATGAATACAACATAAACAGCATATTTTGTATGATATAGGAAGCTGATAAAATAATTATACAAGAAGACCAAAACAGCAATGCAGAAATAAAGACATAGTATTTTCAGAGAGAGAAGCTACCACACCAAAGATTAAGGAAAAAAGAATAAAGAAAATGCCAAGTTTATTTGAGTGTAGTGACAATTATTGATAATTATTGGAAGAATTTAACAATAAAACCAGATGAGAAATCAGAACAGTGGTTTAAAGATCCTTCCCTTTATGGTCCCAGCCTCACAAAGTATAAAAGAGTGAATCTGGAGAAGTGAGAGAATATTAAAGAATGAACACATATGGACAACTTAAAGGTGTTCAGGGCAGAGGCTTATTGGTTGAATTTTCACCTTCCATTGGGAAGACAGGTTTGACTCTCTACCAATGTGCCTAATGTACAGCTATCATCTTCAGTAGAGGCTTGCATGTTGTCAGAATTTTGAAGAGGTTCCATCAAAGATTCTAGACTAAGATGAACTAGTTTGAAATGCCTAGAAATATACTTCTAAAAATAATCCAGTGACAACCTTATGTCTGATCCATGCCTGATTATGAGAATAGTGCAGTACGGGAAAGTGTTTTCTTCTGGTTTTAATGGAATCACCAGGTATCAGGGTCCCAATTCAAGACATAGAGAGGGAGAATTTTCCCCTTGTAAGAGCCAATCACTTTGAGAGCCTCAGCATCTGCTCAGGAGGAGTAAAAGATCCAGGAAAAACTAGTTATCATTGAAAGAAAATTCTTAAAAAAATGAGTTTTCATTTTGAATGCAAATTAAAATCACCCGTGGTGCTTAAAAAATGTTATGATCAAGTCACTTTCTGTTAAAAGTGTAATCTGTAGGGGTGAAACCAATAATTAATACATTCAAGCTTCCCTGGTGATTCTAATATGAAGTCAAGATTTGGAATCAGTGATATGCATTTTCACACATAACCTTCTTATATAGTTCTGCTCCATCCAAAGGTACTCTGGATAATAGATATTAATAAAGACATAGTATGAAGATTAAAATTACATAGAAATTGTTGTTGTTAAGTACTACCAAGTCAAGTTTCAAACCATAGTGTCCCTCTACAGGGTTTCCAAGGAGCAGCTGGTGAGTTTGAGCTACCGACCTTCCAATTCAAACTGACCTTTAAGTCTAGAAGATTAACCCACAGCATCACACCAGCATATAGAAACATAGTTGTGCATTCTACCAGAAAATCTGGTCATAGATGAGAAGCTACAAAAGGTAACATAAGATTTGATGCTGAAAATTGACATATCCCAGAATACTTCTTGTATCATATTAAAGATGTGACAAAAAATAAGTGTTCAGGTATGGAAAATCAATATTGAACATATGAGAACTACATAAATTGTGAAAACAAACAGGCAAGATTTCTGATTGCAGATATTAGGTCTTGCCATCTTTTCAACACATATGCCAATGAATATGGCACAAGTGTTGAGATTAGGTTGTTCTGCTGAGTAGCCTCCTTAGGGCTCTCTTTATGTCCCTGTTCCTCAGGCTGTAGATGAAGGGGTTCAGCATGGGGGTAACCACAGTGTACATCAGTGAGACTACTGCACCCTTCCTGTCAGAAGATGAGACAGTTGAACTAACATATGCCCCAATTGCTGTTCCATAAAATAAACAAACAACTGACAGGTGAGAGCCACAGGTAGAAAAGGCTTTATAGCTTCCACCTGAAGATGAGACTCTCACAATGGAAGAAATAATTCGAATGTAAGAATAAAGGATCCCAGAGACTGGAACACCACCAAAGATAGCACCCAAAAAATACACTAGTATGGTATATGTAGAAGTGTCAGAACAAGCAAGGTTAAGGAGTTTGGGAGGGTCACAGAAGAAACTAGGGACTTCCACATCTGTGCAGAAGGTAAGTTGTGTCACCATTGACACGTTTAGCTGGGAATCCAGAAGGCTGATAAGAAAAGATACCAAAACTAGCAAGCCACAGAGTCGGGGGTTCATAATAATTGTGTAGTGAAGGGGGTGACAGATGGCCACAAGCCGGTCATAAGCCATCACAGTAAGAAACATATTGTCCAGACATGCAAAGAGATAAGTAAAAGATGCTTGTATCACACAGCCCTCATAGGCTATGGATTTGCTCTGTGTATGGAT